GGACTCAGCCGCTCGGCGGTCACTTCCATGATCTTCACCGCAAACTCATGGCCGGTAGCTCGATGGACGCACCGGCGGACCACGGAGCTCACTCCTCTGCCAGAGGGGCACAAGAGTGCCAGTCAGGGCCCCGGGCACCCAAGACAACTGCACAGGAGGACACCGCCCCTCCACACCCCTAGGGAGCTCACTCTGGCCAACAGCAGCTTCATGGGAGCCTCAGGAGCCTGGGAACACCCTTCCTGCCCTGCGACCCCTGCCCTGCCTTCCCACAAGAAAGAGAAGAGAGGAAACGATCTCCACGCTCACTACCTGACCGCCTCCATCCGAGTGCCAAAGTTCCCCCCCTGGACCGTGTGTTCTCACGAAGCCAAACTCGGAGCGATCCTATTGGACCACGTAGACCTGCCACCGTGAGTGTCCCAGACACCTCTTCACGGGTGCAGACAGCCCCACCACCCTCTGATACCTCCTGTAGAGGTGGCTCTAAAAAAGCCAAGAGCTGTTGCCTAGAGGACCAAAGCTGAGAATCAGAGGGTCTTGGGTTAGGCCGACCCAGCGATGCCACGCCACGTAGGCCAAGGTTCTCAACCTGTGGGTCAAGCGCCCCTTTCACAGGGGTCACCCGATTCATTACAGTAGCAAAATTATAGTGATGAAGTAGCAACAAAAATAATTTTACGGTTGGGGGTCACCACCACATGAGGCACTGTCTGAAAGGGTCGCAGCCTGAGGAAGGTTGGGAACCGCTGCTTCTAAACCCTTGCAGCACGGCAGGTTTGGGCCTGGCCTCTCGTCCCTCTTTGTGGCCTCCGTTCAGTCCTGGGGCTGTTAAATGCCAGCTTAAGGGCCTTTGGCGGCCTGGCCGGGATCCTGCGGCTGACCACAAGGCAGGTGGTTTGAACCCACCAGCAGCTCCGCAGGAGCAAGATGAAGCGCTGTTAGTTCTACTAGTAAGTGCTTGAAGGCACCCCATTCCACCTGCCAGCCTTGGCCCCAAAGACTCTCAGCTTTCTTGTGGCTTGGCAAACCCAGCCCCCCCCCCTTTTTTTAATTTTTGGCAAACCCAGCTCTTGTCAGCAGGTTCCTAGAGTCACCCCATTCCACCAGGAAATGGTCTGCCTGAAGGCTCTCAGCTCCCTTGCTCCGAGGCTTGGCATACCCATGGTAACTGTCTTCCTCTGCAGTGTGGGAAGCCTACTGCACCATCTGGCACCAGTCTCCTGGTTCCGCTATCACCATCTTTCTGGCATCACATCTCCCCACCTGGAGCCACCTCTGGTATTACAGCTCTGTCTATCTTCTGGGTCTAGGGGGTTCTCAGCACAGGGAACCTGGGTCCAAAGGACATGCTCTGCTCCTCTTTCTTGGTGCGAGTGAGGTCCCGCCTTTCAACTTCTGGGATGACTTATTTAAATTTAGCAGGATGACACAAAACAGACCAGTCCCCCAGGAGGGAAAGGGGGTGTAGAAAGGGGGAATGGATCACAGGGAGCTACATATAACCTCCTCTCTGGGGGACGTGCAGCAGAGGGGTGGGTGAAGGGAGACGCTGGACAGTGTAATATAAGATACAATAATAATTTATAAATTATCAAGGGTGCATGGGGGAGAGGGGAGGAGGAAGGGGAGGGGAAAAAAGGAAAATGAGCTGATTCCAGGAACCCAAGAGGAAAGCGAATTTTGGGAATAATGAGGGCAACAAATGTATAGGTGTGCTTTACACAATTGATCTATGTATTGTGATGAATTGTATGAGCCCCAATAAATTGATTTAAAAAAAAGAACGAGGAAAAAAAATGATAGCTCGATAAATGAATGAAAAGAAAAAAAAACAAAACAGACCAATCCCCTCATCAGGGTTTGATATATCCTTTTGGCATGGCTCCACCCCTACCCCCATGCACCTTATTTGCATTATCAGCAGGAGCCCGGTGGGTGGTGCACTTGGGCTGTTAGCCTTTGGAAACTACCAGTCGCTCCACTGGGGGAAGATGGGCCTTTCTACGCCCATAAAGGGTTGGCAGCTTGGAAACCCCCAGGCACAGGTGTCCACTACCCTCTGGGGTTGCTGTGAGTGAGAATTCATTCAGTGGCAGGAGGTTTTCCGATCCCCTCGGGGCCGCCAGCAGGGGTCAGGACAAGGGACTGAAGATCAGAGAAACCTGTGTGTACCAACTCATGACTGGCTTGTTCACGTCGCAGCTCAAACTCGTTCATGTTCACGCATCAGAAGTCTTCCCAGGCCTCCATATCAACAGTCATCGCCTTTAACTACGTTCATCGCCCCATTTATCTGATCTCTCCCACCTTTATCTTTCTTCGTGTTTCTTGTCTGTCTACCACTACATTGAAAACTCTACCAGGAGAGGATGGCTTGGCCACCTTGAGGGTCACCCATGCCTGGAAGAGTGTGCCCAGCACATAGAAGGTGTTTAGGACACCTTTCACAAATGCAAGGATCTGCCACTGCCTCTGAGGTAAGACCTTCCTTTCATTCTCTGCATGCTGAAACATACTCATCTTTCAAGATTCAGCCCCCAAATCCTCCTTCTAGAAGCTCTCTCGTAGCATTTTAGTCCCCTGGTTCTCTGGGACCCCCATGGGAGATCTCTACCATAGACATGTCTCTTGTCAGTTCCCGAGTCTCTGTCAGCCCTTAACCTGGAGGACTCCAAGGTACTGACCACTTTTCCATCCTCAGTGAAAGCCTGCGATCGACTCTGTTTAGTTTCCTGTCTGGCACCGGTTAGTTCAAAGCATGAATGAATGAATGAATTTGTGACAAAGTACAGGTTGTCCCAGAATAGGTCCAGTCACCAAATGGTCCCCGCTGACCTTGACCCTTCCCATGTAGAGCTATCTAGAATCAGCCCTGGTGGCATAGTCTGCTGATCACAAGGTCAGCAGTTCAAAACCAGAAGCCACTGTTCAGAGCAAGATGAAGCTGTCTGCTCCTATAGAGACTACGGCCTTGGGCACCAGGAGGGGCAGTTGTCCCCTTGACCCATAGGGACGTTCTGAATCAAAACTGACCTGAGGGCAGTGATTGGGCTTTTGGAGACCCCTGGAGCAGGGGGCCTGGGGGGCTTAAACCGAAATCTCCGGAATGCAAAGCCATCAGCAGCCCCACAGAAGAAAGCCCGCTCTGCCCCGCAAGGCTCGAGGGTAACGTGTAGCCCTAGAAGGAACTGTGTATCCATGCGGGCTAAGACCCAGCCTCGCTTCGCCTCCGACGCCCGGCCTCACCTGCCAATGACGTCCTTGGGATCGTACTTCTGGTAAAACTCTTTGGCGGCTGCCCAGTCGGGCAGCTCATCCTCCGGCCCCACGTCCCGCGTCATTCCGAAGGAGGCGGGCGTCTGCGTGGAAGAAATGGAGAGGAGTGAGGGCAGGGAGGTCCACAGGCTCTGGGAGGACGCACATCGCAGTTCCCTGCGCAACCCTAGTGGCAGGGGCGCCAGGATCCTGGGGTGCACGGTGGGGGGTGGGGCTGGGGACGGGACCGGGGAAGGATCGGGAGGAGGGAAAGGGACGGGGGAGGGGAAGGAAGAAGGGACCGAGGACTGAGGGGCTGGGGCACCAGGGCTGGCGGCTGTTGCCGCGCAGGCGCACTTTGTCAGGCGAGGGGATGGGGAGCGGGGTCTCGAGCGGGCTCATCGCGAGCGCAGGGAGAAAGGCCGGGGTCGCGGAAAGGCCGCAGGGTCGCCGAACTCCCCTGCAGTCACTTACCTGAAGCCACAGGCGCCACCGGCAAACACCCTGGGCCCGCCCCCACCCTCTCCGCCAATGGCCAGCGCCGCCCGAAGACCGAGGCTCAGAAACCCTTCTGATTGGACGCTGGCAGCCCAATGGGGAGCCGGCAATGCCGGAGCTGGGGCGAGCGTCAGAGCTTGAAGTTACCTAGCACTACGACGCGTGGGCGGGTCTCCAGATGCAGCCAATGAGCGGGGCTGGAGGCCCGGGCTGGGACCCGGAAGTCGGGTTTCCCGGGAAGCGTGACCTCTGTTGTCCCGACGCAGGCTTTGCTGCCCCTCCAGGTCCTGGTCTCGGGCCAGCGCTCCTCAGTCTCCCCTCGACATTCCTGTCTGAATTTGACTCTTAGGTTGGCTGGAGAAGAATATTCAAAGTACCAAGCCGATCTGTCCTGGATGAAGAATGGGCTTAGAGCTCCTTAGAGCTCGGGTGGCGAGACTTCGTCGTACATACTTTGGGCATGTGACAACTGTCAGGAGAGCCCAGTCCCCGGAAAAGGACAGCATGTTTGGTACAGGGAAGGGGCGGCCAAAAGGAGGAGGCCCTTGATGAGATGGATTGACACAGTGGCTGCAACCATGGGCTCAAATATAAGAACAATTGTGAGCCTGGTGCCAGACTGGGCAGCATTTTGTTCTGTTGTGCATAGATAGGGTCGCTGGAGGTCGGAACTGACCCCATGGCACTTAACAACATTGGCAGTCTGATCCAAAGCGCCCGGCGGGCGCACACTCACTGTCTGGACCCCACTTGGTGCAGACTGGGACTAGCCACGGCCCCTGCAAAGCCCTGACATTCACCTCGGCGACACAGCTTCCCAAGGTTCCACTATCTTTCCCTTCCGACCAGTCCACCCGCTCTCATCTTCTCTAATGCCTGTAAACCAGGTCCATGGGTGTCAGTGGCCAGACTCAACCTGTCTCTCTATTGCTGCTTTCCCCCCACTTCCCCTCAACAAGTGGGTCTGGGTAGCCACCTAGCAAGCCTTTCAGGCTGCTACAAGCTCCTTTGACCTTCAGTCGTAGAGGGGAGTTTTCTCCATGGTTCCAGATTTTTTCCAGCTTCTGACAAAAACCACAAATTCCAAAGAGTTCCTCTTCAATCTGTCAACAATGGCCCCTTAGGCAGGGCTCTGAATACAAACATCCTGCGTACTGCAAAGCTCTGAGTGGGGCTTATCTTTTCAGAGGCTTCCTTACAGGCGTGTCTAAACCCATTTAAAGATGGAATTTTAATGGCTCAAAGCAAGTGGGCTTACAAGCTCCCTATTTTCATACTTCCCAATAATCAGTTCTATAAATCCTTATATCAATAATAATAGGCAGAAGAAATCAGTATAAACAAAGTAGAATTAGATCCTACCTCAATTTGTTTTCTAAATTTTTTTCCTACCTCAATTCTTAAAACAGTTAAATTCAATCTGTTTAGTTTATCTTAATCCTTTTTGAGGAACAGAGGGATTTCTCTTAAGTTGTCTCCCCAAAATATATGCCAGATTTAGCTTGAAAATGATTGTTCACTAGGCAGTGAAAGTAGGTCAGAGGTTATCCTACTTAACATCAGCCATCAAGAATGGATTGGGAGTCATTCTCACTGAAAGGTATTAGCTGTCTAGATCAAGCAGACACCACTGTTTATCCCACAACAAATAGGGCCCATTCCTTTCTGTTATTGTTCCCTTGAAGCAGTGCCCATAGGCAAGCCCGGGACCACTCTAAGATGACTAAGCTTAGGCTACTATCTTGCCACACATGCCCCCCCTATTCCCTCCTCTTACTATTGCACGTTCACCCCTAGGTCATCCCCCTCCTATTGTTTGTATTGCCTATGTTACAACCCCTCTCTATGAAGTAGGTTGCTATCTGCTATCAGGGGGGTTGCATGTCTCCCAGGATAGTAATTGCCTGCTTTATTGTATGAGACACCAGAATGATCAAACCTGTTCAAGGATGAATTGTACTGTCCTTCGCTGTGACGTATGATGCTGTGATGTATCCCCCTAAAGTAATATGATGCGTGGTTAGCAATAAATAATGAGGCTCCCTGGTTCTCGGGAGGGTGGCTGCCAGAGGGTGGCTGGAGAAGGTGGCTAAGGAGGACGAAGCAGCGGCTTCTTCTCTGACGGCTAAGCCCCCTCCATGAGGACCATCAAGCTGGGCTGAACAATGCTACCATGAATTGCGTCTGACTCCATTACTTGACTCCATCCTTTAACTCTCATGCTCTCTATGACTTTACTATAATCTCTACTTTTATCGCTGTACAATTGCACTTACCGAACCTGTGATGTTTTGTGAAGTTCCCTCTTCCCTTTAACCCCACAATCCTTGTCTAAACTATTCTATTGATACAAAAATATGGGGTTAGGCCTCTGAGAGCATCAAACCAGAGCCAGGCTGTCAGCCATTTTCTCTAATCAGCATGGTCTGAAAAATTCAAGGGGTGATTTCTACCCCTGAGCTCAAAGTATACATTCACAACATGCATCTTTGCCATTTCACACAGGAATAACCAAAGACTACAACCAAACAAAATAATCAAAGCTTTAACTTCCCATTTTCTTTCCAGAAAACCACCCAGTAGGCCATATGGACATATCTGATCTCCGGCTAGCTGAAGAAGGAAAAGTACCATGAGGGAGCGGCCAAGAATCCACTCTCCCATGTTCATGACTTCTCTCTCGAGTACCGACTCCCAAGGCACCATAATGTGTGCATCTGGGTAGACTAGAGAAACAAATTAGTAGACACTCATGTGTATAGGAAAGAGCTTTATATAAAACAGCAGTTGAATATTGAGAAACCATCCCAGCCCAATCCATATATTATCTCATATATGCGATACCAATCTATAAAATCCTCTTCAGACTCATGAAACACAGGCAATGATGCTGAATGCAGGACGGTCACAGGCCAGTAGGTGGGAAGTCTCATGGATCCAGCGGTGTAAGCATCTCAGCACTGGCAAGGCTCTCCATGTGGCTTCTCCTTAGGGATGTCTCACAGGGAGTGAGCCCAGAGAGAGAGTGTGTCCCGCCTCCAAGGAAGGAAGACAGGAGTCCCCAGAATCCTCAGAAGGCCATGCCCACACAGAGGCTTCATTGGCTATATCCTGATCGACAGGCTAAATCCACCCCTTCACTCTTAATCCTCAAATGGACAGCAGATTATGTTACTACCACATCCACTTTGTGGAGGTGATGTTCCAGTGCAGAGGTGTAGGGTAAGTGCGTATAATCATCCTACAGCCGTTTAAGAAATGTCACTCCTCGGGGATCACAACCATACATGGGGAGAAACATCCAAAAACCTTACCATATATACTCGAACATATGCCAACCCAAATATCAGCTGAGGCACCTAATTTTACCACAAAAACTGCATTAAAAATGTGCTGAAAAACTCGGCTTATACACGAGTATATACGGTAAAAGAATTGGACTTTTAGCATCAACTAAGTCCACATGGAAGAAGCACTCCAGCTTGTGTGGTGCAAGGATTATAAACAGTATAATCCAGATCCAAAAGAGGGAATGGTACCAGAGCTTAAATTGTGAGCACCTGGCTTGCAGGAGGCTGTGTTGGGCAGTAGAAGCCCCAAATCCATGTTCAGGATCCACACATGAATCAAGCTTCCAGTGAATCACCTCTGGTCATAGTTGAGGAGTGTGAGGAGCCTTGCTATCACGCTGAGAGCATTGTAAAGTTGATGACGGCAGACACAGGTTTGATCTTCTGATCATTTGATCTTCTTTGGACCCAGTTCTGTTGTTTCTGCTTAAAAAAAAAAAAGCTAAGGAAATCCACATGGATTAATTTTCAGATGAATCCTGTCCGACGATGGACCAGGGATGTGAATAGCCTTGCGATCATGCACGGGGCTCGGAAAACAGATGATTGCAGATGCAGTTAATGTTTAGGTTAAAAAGTTAAGGTTAAAATCTCCATTCTGACCCATTTTTAATATTTTCTGCTTTCTTTTCAATTGGGGCTTTTAATGTGTTACTTTGTTATTGTTGTTAGTTCTTAATTTTGATGTTTATGAGATCCAGGAGAGAGAAATCTATGAAGACAGTCACTGGATTAATGGTTCCTTAGGGACATGGCAGGGGAGGTCGGGGGGAAATGGGGAGCTAATAATGATAAGTGCAAGAATGAAGAAATGTTCTACAACTGACTGAGGTGATGATGCACTTGAACTACTGACCTGTGTGACGTGTGAATTAGATGCCCCTAAAACTGTTTAAACAAGAAATGTGCCAGGCACTATGGAATTTATACAAATTATCTTTTATATAGACATTATTTTGAAAAGGCACTACCTTCAGCCAAGTTGTCAATGTTATCACCACCATCAACTGTTGTGCTAACACATCACTGACATAGTGTGCCTGCCCAAAACTGCCTAAGAATCTAATTGAGTGACATCCTATCCCTACTGCCCTCACTTCCAAAATGCCATGAGCGACAAGGGATGGAAAACGATTCTAAATGGAAGGAGACTCTCGAGCCATGACAACTACAGGCAAAAAGAGTATCTGCACCCGACCCTAAAACGGACAAGCTATCACTAAAAAGGACACGACTAGACAATATCACATCAATGTTAACTCCTCAGAATTATTTCAGAATAGATGCCTTTGCATGGTGGTGCTGGTAAAGAACATTACATACACCATGGGCGGGTCGAAGAATGAACAGCTCTGTCTTGGAGAAGCACGGCCCAAATGTTCTCTAGAAGCAAGGGCGGTCCACTGCCTCACATCTTTTGAACGCTATCAAAAGGAGCCAATTCCTGGAGTCGGATTCTTAGAGGATCCGGGGGAAAGCAGCCTTATTAAGATGAACTAGCACCGGGGCTAGAATGTTAGGCTCACACACAGTAAGAACTGAGGGTGACACAGGACCAGAGGGTCCGTTCTGTCGCACAGAGGGTTGCTGTGGGTTGGAATGGGACTTAAGAACAATAGCAGTTATGTGAGAACATATTCTTGTTCTTAGGAGTTACATTAATACAGTGTGGACAAATCTTTTTTTCTCAATTATCAATCGCACCTCGGATAAACCTCACTGGCCACGATATTGCCACTGCGCAAAGCTGACAAATCACTTTCATACGGCCTTTCTCACCCAGGTCTTGAAACTCTTAGCAAATAACTAGCGGGGTGGTGGGGTGGTATGCAAATAAGGTATTTATGGCCCACCAAGGATAGCTTACGAGTAACACAAATACAATGCATGGGCCAAGAAAGCGTGTATGGAGCCCTAGCGAAGGGATTGATCCATTTTGCCATCTGATTAGGTTTTGAAGGAGTAATCCTAGGGGCAGAAAGGGGACCTAACTATCACGCAGGTCACAGGATTGGAGCACATCCTTTGGACCTGGGGTCCCTATACTGAGAGACTCCGAAACCCAAGACACAAAGGCATAGCTAGACACTGGAGATGGTGCCTGGTCGCAAGTGGAGGTAGCAGAACACAGTGGCCTGTGAGCGGTAGCAGTAACGGACCTGCCGACCACGGAGAGGCTTCCTGGCAAAGTGGAGTCCTGCTAGGCACGGAAAGGGCAGAGCTAGAGTGCCTGGGTAACATATGCCAGAGCAGGCAGTTGCCAGGCCAAATGTCAGAAAGAGGCCAGATGGTGGCATGGCAGAGAAACTGTCCTGATCAAAGAACTGTATCCGAGTTGTTCCTGATCCTGAATTGTGTTACCCGTTACTTCCTTTACAAATTCACGAGTATGGTCTGAGAGTAATGACTGTCCCAGTGGAGAAGTACAAAGCGCAGAGGAGGAACACCTGGTGCTGTAGACGGAGGGTGGAGGAGAAGTCAGCCCACACCACTGGGCAAGCATGAAGTAATCAGGGATGATTTAAGTTAAACTTAAACTCACTGCCAAGGAGTCCATGCTGACTCATAGCTGCCCCTGTGGGTTTCCGAGACTGTCCCTCTTTATGGGAGGAGAAAGCCCAGTCTCTCTCCAGGCACCACTGGGGGTTTCGAAACACTGACCATGTGGGTTGCAGCCTAAGGGGTAACCGCATCTCCAGAGCCTCTAACTTCATAGTTCAGCATCAATGACATATGTAGCTAGAAAAATGCAAAGCAAGTATGGGGGAGGGAGGGAGTTACTTCAAAAAGCTTGTGGGAAAATCCCATTATCCTCCAACTCCATTTTGAACACTCCCTCATATGGTGGCGTGTCTCAAAAATTAGGTCTTGGTGCAAGGTGCACAGGCCTTCACTGCTGTAATCCCTTCATGTTCTACAGGCTTGAACCGTTTTCAGACTCATCAGTGTTTAGGGGAATGGAATATTTCCTGCTGGTAAACCGACGTACACCTAGTCTGAGGTTTTAAATTTGCTATCTTTCTTTAGGAATTAGTATTGAACACAACCAAGTCTTATGTGGAGAGTACTGGCTCTCAGACAATGGCGTGCTAGCATCAGTAATATAGAAAAATCTGTGAGAACTGAAGGGGTTAAGAGATACCAAGTGCATGAGAGGTAGTCTAGAAGATGGTAATACAGAGAGGCGACTGCCCCGGTGACATCGTGGGTGCTGTGTCGGGCCTCAACGCAAGGCCAGCAGCTGGCAAGCACCGGCTGCTCCTCCAACTAGCGAGCAGCCCTGGAAACCCGTCCCAGCGGCTCTTCTATCTACGGACTGGAGAGCAGAGTCTGGGTTTGGTGTGTAAAAGGGAAGGGAGGGTCTTCCCAAGGACAGAAAGAGCTCTGGGGCCCTCTGGGGGAGGTGTGGCCAGGCTCTCCCTGAGGGGGAGGTGTACTGAGACCAGAACGGTTCACCAAAGTGCTTTATTGTAAAACAAACAACAGGGCCATAAAGTCAGGCTTGGTCTCGAGCCCTACTTCCAGGTGGAGGCCCTGCAGATGGTTGGGGGGATGCGGGGTGGTGGGGCGCGGTGGTGGGGCGGGCTGATCCCTCTCATCAGTCTGAACAGTTGCCTCCTTTGAGTGCTTCTCCAACACCATCCTTCCAACCAGATGGGACCTGCTGCTGGCACTGGATCCCAGCACTGGCGCACTGCAGCGTCCAGGAAGTCTCCGTGGATCCTCCGCAGGGGCCACCAGGGTCACTCAGCCTGTGCGATGGCATAGGAGAGCAGCCACAGCAGCAGGGGGCCCAGAGCAAGGGCCGTGAGCCAGACAAGGAAGCTGGCCAGGATGAGCCTCCGTGCCCGGGCCCCCCAGTGCACTGCCTCCTCAGACCGGCCTGCCTTATGTCGCTCTTCTGCCTGTGGGGGCAGGGGTTTGGTTAGATCCCCCCCTGCTTCTGCCCCAAGGTGCCTGTTGCCTCATTGCACTCCACCCCTCACCCACGCCCCCATCCCTACTGTGTCTCAAAGTGCTCCCACCCATTCAATGACCCTCCAGCTCCAGCTTGTCTTTTGTCCTCATCTACAGAACAAGGGCCCTGTCTCTGCCCTGCTGGCTCCTGGAGGGGACCAAGGACAGCGCCTGAGATCACACACCTGGAAGCCTTTGTAAGCCCTTTGATTGCCCAGCTTTTCCCACCCATCCCAGTCATTCTGAAGTGGGAATTCTTGGTAGGAACCCAGTGGTTCTCAACCTTCCTCATGCCGCAACCCTTTCATGCAGTTCCTCATGTGGTGGTGACCCCCCCCAACCATAACATTATTTTCGTTGCTACTTCATCACTGTCATTTTATTACTGTGATGAATCGTTCGACCCATAAAGGGGTCAAGACCTACAGGTTAAGCAGCATCCCGTTCTTACATCCCCCAAAGGCTCTATCCTTTTCACCATTAAGGGGTCTCTTGAATGATTTTATCCCATCGAAACCCCCAAATTTGTATGATTATAGAAACAAGGTCTAATGGATAAAAATGCAAACTAGGGTTGCCAGAATGTGTTGAGAAACCTCAGCATGGTCGGAAAAAGGGTTAAGTAAGGCAAGGTCCACGTGCAGCTTCTGTGGAGTTTGTGGAACTGTTGAACCCTCTCCAGGTCCTGGTATTACTCACCAGCTCCAAGAGCGGCGGTTCTCAACCTGTGGGTCTCAACCCCTTGGGGTGGGAGGGGGGTCGAACGACCCTTTCACAGGGGTTGCCTAAGACCATCGGAAAACACACAAATATTTCACAATATATAATTACATATTGTTTTGTGATTCATCACTATGCTGTAATTATGTTTAATTACTGATACGTTCAATTTGTAACAATGAAAATACATCCTGCCTGTATGATTCATAACAGTAGCAAAAGGACAGTTATGAGGTAGCAACGAAAGTAATGTTATGGTTGGGGGTCACCCCAGCATGAGGAGCTGTATGAAAGGCATTAGGAAGGCTGAGACCTTCTGTCCTAGGGACTGCTCTCATCACTGCTCAGTGGTCTCCCAATTCACCCCCTGGGCAGGCCCGGAGTGTGGATCTCCCTGACCAAGGCACTCTCCCCCGAGAGCCTCCCAACGTGTACTGTGTTCCAACAGCACATTCAAGGTCGAGCCCAAATGTCCAAGCGCGCAGCATTCGACACTCTGGAGGATCTGGATCCTCTCTCACTATCCCACACCTTTCAAACGGCCACGCCAAACTAATAGGCTAGTCTCTTTAACCTCTCTCTCCTTTACTTACTCACCCTTTAAAGAGATTTTCTCACTGCCTCCCCTACGCCCACCTTGATCTCTACCCATCATTCACACGTCTCCGCATAGCTTCCATAAGGCTCTGCGTTCCTTTAGGACACTGATGAACTGCATTCTATTTACTTGATCCGCTCTCCTGCCATCTCCTTCATTAAACGATGAACTCTTTGACAGCAGGAACCAGTTTTTATTCATTTTTTTACTGGCCCTGACAGGTATAGGGACTTTGATCAATGTAGCTAGACCAGATAAGAAACCATTGCCTTACATCCACCCACCCACCTGCTCCCACTAGAATCACATTTCTCACCTTGACGGCAAACACAAGAGCCACCACTCCCAGGCAAGAACAACCACAGAGAACACTAGTGGCCGCCCAGTACCGGAGGCGGAGCCAGCAGCAGCGGAGAGGGGGAGGAGAAGGAGCAGCCTCCGTGGGGCTCACCAAGGTCTCCATTGCCTTCTCTGCGTCCTCCATCACCTGTGGACAACAGTCAAGGTCCATGTGAGCCCGAGGGGAGCCGTTGGCTGGGCTTGCTCAGACTTCACCCCTCTCCCACTGTCCTCCTGGCCTAGCCCGCTCCTAGGAATGCTGCCTAGCTCAGTTCTCAGGAATTCCTCCAGTGACTCATGCACCCGCAGAACAACCGTGGGCTTGCAATCTGCCCTCGGTTTTAAGAGGACAAGCCAGTAGGAAAGCATTCTCTGGGCTACTCAGTGATGAGCACGGAGGGACAGTGACAGGTGCACCTGAGGAGAGAAACACAGGATTTCAAACCAGGTTAGGAATCTGAGACCATGTATGGGTTGCAGGGTTCCCTCAAGTTCCCCAGGGGCTGGCCCGGAGCACGGGACCCTAGGTCCTCTACCCCGCTCCAAGTGAAAACATGGCTCACGGCTGGAGCAGGTGGCGGACCCAGCTTCCCTCTTGTGCTGTCAGATGTATTGCCGAGAAACCACAACTCTGACCAGAATGACCCAGTTGCAACCTCTTCTCCTGTGTGACGTCTTCCACCTCCTCTCCAATTAACGTCAAGACAGCAGCCCCTTTACAATCACTCCCAACGGCAGCAGGGCCCACCCAGAAACCCTTTGCCCTCGAATCTCCAACCACATCCTTGGCTCCCAGCTGAGACCATGTGTACCCGCCCCCCCCCAAATGTGACCACGGATAAAGGTGTGCAAAGGGCACAGCACACAGAGAACAAATGACACGGGGCACTAAGCTGCAGGGGGAGCGTGTGAGAAACTTGGGTAAGATACACACAACCACAGGAACGCAAGGACCAGGGAGCTGGAGTAGGAACAAACGGGGACCGGGGCTCTTTCTTACCTGGTGACTGGCCCTGAGGAACTGAGTTTCGTTCGGCTCCTGCTTCAGATTCGATTTGGCTGGGGTGCAGGATGGGTTGGCTCAGGGTCTCTTAAGTCAAGCCCAGGAGTGAGGTTACAGTGGCTACCCCACAACGTGGGAGCCCCAAGAGCTGGGGAGGTGTGGCTGACTCAAACCAGTTCAGCTGGATGGAGGAGGGAAGGAGGGAGGGGCAAGCGATGATGGAGCAACTGGGGGCAGGATGCCCGCCCGCCTTTGGGGAGGAGGCTCAGGCAGTCCCAGGGGAAAGCCCAAGAACCCAGAGACAATAAGGCAGCAAAAGGTGCTCAGCTCGAGTGACAGTCGGTACCCTCCCAGACTGGGCTTGCCAGCCTTCCTTCTTGGGTGGAGACTTTGGATTCAAAAGCTTATGTCATCCAGGGCTAGAGATCAGCAGGCTGGGGAAGGTCTTGACAAGAATTACAGGGCTCAGAACAACGATGCCCAAGTCCCCGCCCAACCCACCATCAAGCCAGAAAATCAGAAGCCTCCTTACTCGGATGCTTGTACAGAAACTAAGTTTATTATTTTTTTCTTAAAAAAAACAAAAAACAAAACAAAAAACTAAAAAAAAAAACAAAAAAAACAAAAACCACCCCACCTCTTGGTGGAGAAGCCCCTCCCCCTTCCCCTTCCGGCGGTGGGCTGTAAAACACAGCTGGGAAATCAGGTACAAGGGGTGGGGATAGACTAACTCACCACCCTTAACACTGCCCAGCCATGTGGGGTGGGAGGGGAGGGTAAAGAGCCACATTTCTATGGCGACCAACTGCCTACCCCCTAACTTTGGTGGAAAGAAAGGAGGAAGGCCCGTAAGTCCCCTGGAGGCTTCCCCGCCACCCACCCAAGAGGCTTCAAGTAGTGGTTAAGAGTCAGGCCTGGTTGTGGGTGGGGTGGGAGGGGCGGGGAGGGGCCACAGCGGGACCTGGGTGGAGGGGCAGCCCACTCACGTCTTAGCCTTGCGGCCTCTGTGACTAGCGGTGGGCGGGGCAGTGCTGCGCAGGGTGCGCTGGTCCCCGTGGTCGGCCCCCCCAGGGCGGCGGGGGCCAGGCTTGCGGTGGGGGGTCCCATCCCCTTCCTGCTCTTCACCTGAGGCTTCGGCCTCAGACTCTTCTACGGAACCCTCAGGCCCCGGGGAGCTTGGAGGCTGAAGGCGGCCCCGCTTTGCAGGGCCGGGGCCCCCACCAGTGGGTGCCCCTGCCCGTTTGCGGGGCACCTTCTCTGTCTCTAGTGGAGGAACTAGAGATCCCGGACGCAACCGGGTTGAGCGCAGTTTTGGGGCTAGGGAGACCATGGGAGGTGACAACTCCAACCCGCCGCCTGGCCCGCTCTCCACTAAATCCAAGTCGTCCTGAATGACAGCCACCACCATGGACCCTTCGCTCTTGCGGCCCCGTGTTCCCTCCGCTTCCAGTCGCAGGCGGGCCAGGCGGGTAAGGGGTCGGCCTCCATCTTCATCAGAACTGCCCTCACTGTCGTCCTGGACCTGGGGTTGTTGTCGCCTTCCCAGTCCACAGCTCTCAAGGATGGAAGAGCTGTCATGGTCCAGGGCAGGGAGCTGGTTGGGGCGAGGTGATGGTGGGTTCTTGGGAGGTCGACCCCGCTTGCGCTTGGGAGGGGATGTGGAAATGGTGACGGTGGTGACAGTGTTGGCGACAGTAACGGTGGGGCAGGCTATAAGTGGTGGGAAGGACGGCAGAGCCAGTGGTAGCGGGGGTGGCTGTGTCCGGCTCTCTAAACTGCCATCCCCTGGAGAAGAAACAGTCCCAGGGACGGGCAAATCTCGCGCTTTAGGTGGCCGCCCACGCCGCCTTTTCTCCACAGGTGACAAGATGATGGGTGCGGGTTTGGGAGCTGACTGGGGTCCTCCAGCAGGGTCTGTGGCCGTCAGGCTCTCGGCCCCGGGGACTGGGGTGGCCCCATTGGGTTTTCCTTTAGAGGTGGTGGAGGGGGCCTCATCCACTCCCGGCCCAGGATCAGCCGGAGACCTGGTCTTTTTAGGGGGCCGTCCTCGCCGGCGCTTCACAGCAGGTGGGGTGATGGCAAGCAGTGCCCCCTCTCCATTCTCCGGGCTGCCTCCACTGGTCACCCCCAACTCAATGTGACGGCGGGCTATGAAAGGCTGCTGGGTTTGGGTGGGCAGCGTGGAGAGGGGAGCAGCTTCGCAGGGTCCACTAGTGGGAGGTGGAGACTCTTGCCCGGTCGCGCTGGGGCTAGATGGACTCCCCAGGCCGGCACCCATCTCAGAGACCTCCGGAGCTGCAGTGCTGGCAGCTGCACTTCCTCGCTGCTGTCGCCGCCGTCTCACCAGCTCCTTCTCTTCCACCACGGTGACCAGCCGTCCAGGCAACTTGCGAAGCACTTTGGGGCCTGGAGGCTGCCCCGGCCGACCAGTTCCCTGACCCCGAATCTCTACATCGGCACTGGTGCGACGCCGAGGGGGGCGGGCGGGTGAAGGGCTTTCGGGTGAGGAGGAAGCGGAGGACATTGATGGCGCTGGAACAGGTTCTGGAAGCTTCTCTGGACTAGAGGTTGGAGTTCGGGCCTCCAGCAGCTCTTCAGAGGTCCTGGCACCGTCCACTGGCTCCTGCAGTGGCTTGTCAGAGGCTGCCGAGGCTGGGCGCGCCACCCCGTTGTGCTCATTCAGACACATGGGCACCTCCTCACCATCGGGCAGCACTCTGACAACTGCCTCCTGGGCAGGTTCTGGCACCTCCTGCTCTTGACCATTGAGGTGGCCACTAGCCTCTGGGGTTGGGCTTGGTGTCGGAGTGAGAGACAGGCCCTTCTCTGGCACAGACAGGACTTCCACAGCAACTGGAAACAGGTCCTTAGGGGACCTACGAGCGAGCGGGCAAGTCTCAGAACTGTCCATGCCAGTGAGCTCCAGGGGCTCTGGAGATGCCACTACCGGCGGCGCACACAGCTCAACCTCAGGCCCCAATCCCAAGGGGAGGTTGGTGCCTACAGGGGACAGAGGCACAGGAGCTGGACCAAGGAGGAGAGAGGGAGAGGGCGTGAGAGGAAACGGGATCTGAGCTGGTGGGGAGGTCTGAGCGGCTGGGGGAGGCTGAGTTGGTGGGGGGGTACTAGCAGGAGGAGGGGTGCAAGCAAGAGAAGAACAAGAGGGGGGGAGGATCTGGGAAGGAGGAAGAGGTGGTGGTGGTAGGACTTGGACAGGAAGAATGGCTATTGGACTTGGGGGTGAAATGGGGATCGGGGCAGAGATTGGGGGAGCAGGAGCTGGAGTGGGCCGAGGTCTGGGTGCTGGCCGGGGAGCTCGCTCCCTGGTAGGGTTGCAGCGGGGTGGCGTGGCAGTACTGCGAGGATGTTGGGTGGGTATCACGGGAGTGTGGTTTGCGCCTTGAATCTCAGCACGGGCCCCACGAAGACGCTCACTGACTCGAGTCCCTGGCCTCTCGGGAGCCTTGACTTTTTTACTGCGCCGGTGGCTGCCTCCACCGGTCCCACAGGAAACCTCATCGCCAGCCCCCGGCCCCTCCTCCTCTTGGGGCAGGCGGAACACCTCTTCCTTGGCTTGGTCCAGGTCCTTTCGGGCAGCTTCCACTTGCTCCTACCAACAACCGAGTCCAAGGGAAGATCAGTGGGAGGAGGCGTCTAGGGAAGAGGCGTGGGCACAGATCAGCAGCCTCCCCCCTGTGGCTCCCCCACCCGAGACACACTCACTTCAGCCTGCTTGAGCTCCTCCCGGCTCACTTCTTCCAGCGAGGCCTCCAGGAATTTCATGGCATAGCGCTCAATGGGGGTCAACTGTGGGGAGGAGGTATGATGACTACAGAGACCAGGTAACCTGGGGCCCATCTCCTGTGATTTTCAAGCACAGTAGGAGGGCCACAGAGCCCGAGGATGGGAGCTGGGGAGGGTGAGAGTGAGAACTAGAGGGCCCAATACCGACCTGCTCTACGAGGGCAGCAATTTCCTGCTCTGCCCGAGACATCTCCTCATCCTCAGCCCCAGGACGACTGGCCTCTTCCCCCTCGCCAGCAGGAAACCCATCGTTCTCATTGAACTCTGCGAGCTCAGCCACCTGCTCAGCCTTGGCCTGAGTGGCTGCACGGATATCCTCTTCATCCTCTGCCCGACACAACGCCTGGTGGGGGGGGGGCAAGGTGAGTAAAATCATTACACCTGCTCACGAGAACTTTACATCCTAGGATTTGATTTTGGCAAAAATATAAAGCCAAGTTTATAACCGAACTCTTCCACTCCCTTAAGGGTCCCGAGAACTACCAAGCCAACCCTGTGGTTCACAATGAAGACTGAACTGACTTGACCAGGATCCCACAAAAGGGCAAAGCCTTCCTTTCCTTTGAGCCACCTCTCAAGCTCTACAAAAAGAGCCATCACAGAAAATTCTAAGTATCAATCAAAAAGCCAAAAATTCTCTCTTGTATCTAATGGACCTCACGACAATTCTCTTCATCCAACAAAGCATGTCTGAGAACTCCCTAGAGTGCACTGTAGTCACTGAGGCCAGTGGCCTTGGGCAAGGCCAGCCCCGAGGAGGAGGCAGGGGAAAAAAATCCCCATGCGCTTCATGTGTGTGGGAGCTTGTGGGGGAAACCCACTCAGACCCAACCCCACAAAATTAGGATGAAGCATGTTCTGAGGTGGAGTCCAGGAGGCACTATTCTGAAAAGCTTTCTGAGGACTTCTATCATGCATCAAGTCTTAGAAATCCCGTGCTTCCCCGTCTTACCACTTCCTCCTCAGCTACTTCTTCCTCATGAGCACTTGAAAGAGGTGGAAAGTGGGGCTAGAGGCATAGACTTGACCGACAGAATTATTTAGATGGTTAGAATGAAAACCTACAACGTTTCTTGCCCTACTAAATCCTGTGAACCACAAGCAATCGACTATAATCTGATTAGCAGCAGGAGCAGCTGTTTCCTCCTCCACAGGCTAACCACAGGCAAGGTACACTCTAAGGACAAGCTCAACTTTAGGGACGCCCACTCTGCTTTCACCTGCTCCAGGATATGAGTCTGCTTGCTAGCCACGGCCTCTTCCTCCTCGTCAGGGGCGGAGGGTACGGCTGCATTAGACGGCTCCTCCAAGGGCATATCAAACAGCTCTCGGATGGTCTGCTATTGGGGAGACCAGAGGGAAGAGCATCAGACACAGGGTCACTCTTGGAGGCATTACAAGTGCCAACAGTGAGACGGCTGGTCCACGGAGGTCAGGGCAGCAACTCAACACTATCGGCAGAGCGATTCTCTTCTGCAGAAGCTGGAAGTTTGTGGTGAAACAAGACCTAACTCCCTGCTACAAAGCAGTTCAAAGTGGTGACCTTCATGGAGGCAGACGGTCACATTGCTCTTCCAAGGAGCAGCTGATGGGTTCAAACCACTGAGAACCAGCGAGATCAGGTGGCTCCTGAAAAGCTCAGTACCTGTTTAAAATAGGCGGTCGTGAAGTTGCCTCCCTCAATGGCCATATCTCCCAACATTCTCTTCTGATTTGCCTTCTTAAGGATGTTCTCCTCCACTGTCCTTTCACTGATAAGCCTAAGGAGCGACAGAAGTCACATGTACATATGTACACAGCTACTTGCATCAAGGAAGCTCCCCCCCAACCCCAGCAGTGAAGTCAGGTGAAGGGGGACCAGGAGCGAGGCAACACCTATAGATGTGGACGTCTCGGGTCTGCCCAATTCGGTGACAGCGATCTTGGGCCTGAGCATCCATGGTGGGGTTCCAGTCGCTGTCATAAAAGACAACAGTGTCTGCTCCTGTCAGATTGACACCCACACCACCACTCCGAGTAGAAAGGATGAAGCAGAATATGCGTTTATCTGCATTGAACCGTTCCATCAGGGCCTAGAGGGAAAGGGAGAAAACAAGGTATTGGAAGATATAGCCCCAGCAACAGACCCTTACAGAAAAAGCAGAGTGGGCCTCTTGTGGTCCAGAAAGAGAAGGCAGGAGATGGGGTGGACATCAAGGGCTTCGGATGCCTGGGTTACCTGTCTCTGCTCAACTCGGGTAGAGCCATCCAGGCGTGAGTAGAGGTGGCCATGGTAGGTGAGAAACTGCTCCAACACATCCAGCATTCGGGTCATCTGAGTGAAAATGAGCACCCGGTGGCCCTCTGCCTTGAGCTGTCTTAGCAGCACTGCCAAAGTTTGCAACTTTCCTGAGGAGATGAAGGGGTAAATGGAGCTCTTAGAATGGGGAGAACTCTCAGCGCTGGATGGCTATGACTAAAAGGTAATCAAGACTTTGGGCTAGAGTTTCAGTTAAGTCTCCTCCCTACTTCCCCATTCCACCCGCCCCCTCCCCAGAAAATATCTGTAGCTATCAAGTTGACTCCAGATCATAGCAACTCTACAGGACTGCTCCAGAAGATTTCTGAGACTAAAGACTTACAGAAGCACACAGCCTAATCTTTCTCCCATGGAGCAGCTGGTGGATTGGAACCACCGACCTTGTAGGCAGCAAGCCCAATGTTCAACCCACTACTGCAACACCAGGCCTCCTTCAGCGAGTCTAGGGGATCAAAACTATGTAAGTCCATGCGGTCTCTTCCCTTAATGGCTCCCCTTCTTCAGCGTGCTCTTGGCTGGGACAGAGTTCTCGGAGTGGAACTAGGGGAGGAATAGTGACCCTCCAACTCAAAAGGCACTGCCATCGAGGCCATTCCAACTCCTAGCAGCCCTGGGGAAGCGAGGGAGTGGGGCAGAGGGTCCTCAGCCCTGTTTGCACAGAGATCTTAACAAACTATGAGTTGCACCAGCAGAAACGAGAACAGAATTGTGTGCAACAGCTCTGTGGCCACAGCTGATGGAGGGAGACAGAGTCACAGAGGAGACCCCGCCACAGATCAGAACCAGAGTCAGCCAGATTCTAGGAGGTTATTGAGCTCAAGCTTGGCACAAACACAGAAATAACTTCATTATTTGATAGGTGGGTTTGGATATCTTTTAACACACAGAGGAGGTAATCCCCTGAAAAATGGAATCCCCACCTCCCCGCAGCTATGTATTAACATGTTTTTTACAAAACAACCTTATCACCTTCAGCGTACCCTCCATTACACTTAATACATTTGTCAAATCTGTGATTCCATTCTTGAAAACATTTTTCAAACTCATCTATTTGAATGGTTGACAGCACCTCCCTTGTTTTTTTTCCCCTTCACCTCTTCTACGTAGTCAAATTGCTGTCCTTTCATGTCCCTCTTCATTCACGGAAACAAAGAGAAGTCGTAAGGAGCGAGATCAGATGAGTAAGATGCATGGGCAGAGAGAGGCATTCCCAAAACCGTTTTTTGGCCAACAACTGGTACACTGAGAGGGCTGCGTGAGCAGGTGCAAACCCAGTCCATGCTGCCCCAAATACGGCCTTTTTTGGTAGCTCACTGTCACATAATCTTTCCAGAACCTCTACATTGAAAGCTTGATTAACAGTCTGACCAGTTGGAACAATGCCAACTGCACTACGAATCGACAATCCACCCATTTGGGAAGTTGACAGACACACGATGAGGTTTGTCATCAATCAGCATTTTTTGAAACGAGAAAACCACTCGTACACTTGATGGTGCTGTCCTTGTAAGATGTGTCCAACATCACAACAGTCTCTGTGGCACTGCCCCCGCCTCCCCACCCCCAAAAGCAGGAAACAAAATTTCACAGGTACATGCTGTTCCCTTAAGTCTAAGGTGACCAGACGTCCCGCTTTTGGCAGGACAGTCCCGATTTTTAGCAACTTTTCCCGCGTCCCTTGGCGTTTTAAAAAGTCCCGATTTTTGGAAAGAATGCATGACAAGCTAGGGTATACGGTTTCTGGCTGCCATGTGGCTATTTCGCCAGGATATGAGTTTTATCAATGGTGTCCCACTTTACCAATGTTAACATCTGGTCACCTTACTTAAGCCAGCCATCACAAAATACAAGGTTCGAGCTAAACAGCTTTTAAGAAAATTTCACTGTGACCATAGAGGACCTTCCCAGGTGGCCCAACTGGGTGCACTAACTCAGAGGGAGTTGCTCACCAATGCTGGCCTACAGGGGTGGGGGTGGGGGGAATGCCTCAGACAAAAGCTTCGTTCTGCCCAAGCAATTCTGGTTTTTTGGTGGGGTACCCCAGCGTATGCTCAATGATGTACCAGGTGGCTCTCATCACACTTTGCAAAGTTTCTAATATGATTTTAAATGAAAATATGTATTTAAATTCTCATTTTCTTAAATTCCTTTAGGTAATCCCCACACATGCTCGTACAGAAACGTTGGGCAGGATTTGTGGCGTAAACTATTCGTCCCTGTCCCACAGCCATTCTGGGTTAACAGAAGCTAATTAACTTTATGGGTAGCTGGTGAAGGTCTCTGATTACGGAGACGGCAGGCCCTAACCAAGTCCCAGCAGAGAATCAGGACTTGGTTCCTCCTTGCCACACCCCAGTCTGATGAGCCACTGAAACAAAGTGTGCCAAGAGGATTCTCCTTTCCAGAAAAAACACTTGCTAGGGTCAGAAGAACTGTTGTCTTGACCTCTCACTTCCTGCTTGGAGCCTTAGGGTGGGGGGTTCCTGGAGCCACGGCAGTCATCCTGAAGATGAAGGAAAATAACTATCGGCATAGAAACATGAAAGCTAAGAGCAGCCAGGAAGAGAGACCCCGACAACCTGCTGAAGCAGCCCAGACTTCTCATAGATAAAAGGTAGCCTTCTGGTTTAAAGTCAATGTTAGTTGGGGATTTTTGTTTGTTTGCAGCCAAATGCATCTGAATCAATACACAGATCCTTGCTTCTCCCCAAATGAAAGACTGTTCACAACTGGCCTCATCGACGTGAGGCACTATGCTGTCTGTGCTGTCTTGCCATCACTGTATCCTAATCGCTAACAAGAACCAAACACGGTCAGTCACAAAGCAATCACACGATGAGTAAGTGAATGAGCAACACACATCTTCAATTTTCACTAAAGTTAAACCCACGAAATGCCAAGAATCCTTCATAAATCCTTATCTCGTTCTCACCCATCAACAGAACCTGAAAACCCATGTAATGTGACCACCTCTGTCACAGTCTTACTACTGGCAGTGAACTCACCACAATCATACTGGATGAGCCTCAAGTCAGGAAACTGGGTGCGCATGTTACACACAATGCGGTGCAAAGGACGGGCCCGGGGCCAGAGCTCACAGGCCAATTGCTCCTGGAAGGCTGCCTGACGTGGGGCTAGCCAAGGAGGTGGGTGGCAGGCATGTAGGGAAGGGGCAGGTGCCTCCACAGGAGGCATGACAAAGATGAACCTGTGGAAGGAAGAAGGTAAGTGGTATAAAAGATGGAACTCTGGTAGGTCCCAAAAACTACCACCTTCACCAGACTCAACCACGACATCCACTGTGAGGCCCCAAGACCCACTTTCCATGAGCACATAGCCCTGCCAACCTCTCAATGATTTCTGACAGCTGGTCTAGTCGTTGCTGGGGCAACAGGACAGCCCTGCGGGCAGCCTCGGTAAAAGTCCAAAAGGTGGGGTGGTTGGGGCCAGGAGCACGAGGGCCGATGGGGCTGGCAACAGGCGAGGGCAGGGTACAGAAATCCAGGACTTCTGTTCCATACACGGGTGCCAGGGCCCCATGAGCCTCGCTAAGTTGGAAAATCCGCTCCAGACGTTCAGATCGCTGCCGTTTCCGCTTCTCCTCCAGAGAATCCTGGGGATTAGAGGGAAAAACACCGAGAAAACCATCAATCCCCACAAGGCCCACACCTAAGGCTGAGAGAAAACCAGACAATTCCTCAGACGGGCAACTTTGAAAACCATAACATTTTACAGTAAGTGTACTGTTGTTGACAGTGAGCACCGTCATCCGTCTCACAGTGCTAAAACTACAGCTCAGGCCTACATCTGCAACGAGCTTGGAAAACGGACGATCCGCCAGAATCATCCTACGCAACCCTTTGGCTCCAGAGCATCAGCGTTAATTCCTCTTGTTGGGATGGGTCAACAGTAATTACTGGAAGAGTTCCCCAAATAGCTGAACCGCTAACAGAGGGGTCCATCAGACTGCGGCAGGTTTCTGCCAAGGCCAGACAGGGGTGGGTTGGGACAGGAACAGCTAGCCAGACATGGGAACTCTAGAGAAGAAGGCGAGCACTCGGCTGTCAGGCCTGTATGATGCTGAGTCAATCCTTTCCCGTATCTGCACCTCTAGTCCCATCACTCCTCTGCACACGTGCAGTTTTGAGAAAGACCTCCACCCCCGCACTGGGAGTTCCACATGGCACGGTCCGCATTACAATTACCTAGACTCTTGCTTAGTACCAACCAAAACCACAGCCATACACCTATAGCTGTGATGAAAAAAGGGTAACGACGAGTGCTGGCAAGGATGTGGGAAGTAAAACCTCCTTTGGAGTTCAGTCCCTCACATGGCTAAACAGATTGCTACATGTCCCAGCAGTTTGATTTCTCGTGGGGACGGATCCCAAGAGAAACTGAAGTTGTAGGTCCAGCCCAAAACTCGCACTGGAATGTTCACAGCCACACTAACCATGAGAGTCAAGACATGCAAACAACAAAAATACAAATGTCTGTGTCCGCTGATGAACAGCTCAAACACTGGAGTCCCACTGGGCCTTAATAAGGAACAAAGTACAGAAACAAGCTGAAGCTTGGGAGTCGCTGCTGTGCTCACGGCAATCCCACGTTTACTGCTGGAAGCAAAGAGCACGCCACATGCAATCCCTTTACCCTGCACAGGTGATGCCTGGATCGGCAAGTCTACATACAGGGGCTCAGAGGAGACTGGTGGTTGCCCACAGGGTAAGGTAGAGGAAGAGTGACTGCTGATGTGTACACAAGGCTTCTTTGTGGGATGACGACACTGCCCTAAATACGTTCTGGTGTCGATTACACAGAGGCCGTGGTGGCTCAGTAGTAAAATCCTGGCCGTTCGTGAGGGACACCCAGATTCCATACCTGGCCAATGCACCTCAGACACAGCTAGCACCTGTCAGTGGAGGCTTGCATGTTGCTATGATGCCGAACAGTCCCACCGGTCTACTTCCAAAAGTCAGTCAATGAAAATTATGAATTGTAGTGGTCCAATCCCACTGTGCATGGCCTCATCAGGGGTTGAGGGGTCAACATGTCAGCCAGCAACTGCACAACTGTGAGATGGACACTTTTAAATGGGTAAAATGTTGCTTAAAAGGTATCTCAATAATGTAAAGAAGAAAAAAAGTTGTGACAAAAAAACCTCACTTGGCCTGCAGAGTTTCCTGTCCTGGAGTACTTTCAACAAACCAGGGCGGGCCATAGGGACAGAGGCCGGAGTTTGTGATACTTGTCAAGGGTCAGGGACTGGGGACGCCGTCTTGATAACAAGAGAAAAGGCAAGTCCCAGAGAGATTCATTGGACGGCCTTTCTTACCAGTTCTGGGATTATTTACTGCAATCTGGATGACAAGTCCAATTAACTGAAAAGAAATGGACCAGAATAGAAGAATTGGGGGTGGGGGTCACGGGCTGTCAAAAACTTGCCAAGGAATGGGGGCAGAGTTCCTCGTTTTGCCCCCGGACCACCAGAGGTGAAAGACAGCAGGTAGTAGGAGAGAGGCCCATACTATCTAGGGGACTGGACCCTGTGAAGGGGGAGCACCGTGGCAGTGGTTAAGCAAAAACTTGGTGAGTTGAACCTGTCAGCTGCTCCTCAGGAGAAAGATGTGGCAGTCTGCTTTCGTAGGTGACAATCCTATGTGCACGGCGCGGTTCTACCATCACAATGGGTCACCAACAACGGGAGGGCAATGCTCGCTTTTGCCTTTCTCTTATGGCGTTTTGTTTCCTTGGAAAGTGTACTGCTCAGTGAGGGTGATGGTTTTAGCAACTGAAGAAAGTCATTCTAAGGACTGCCTCTTGTGGGGAAGAGGAAAAAGCAATGGCCACATCTTCATTAACTGTGTGATGTTGCTGATCATTTCATAAGGCAATTACAAGCAGCCCTGGTGGTGTAATGGTTACGCGTTAAGTTGGAACTTCGTGGTCCACAGTTTCAAATCACCAGCCAGCTGCTCCGCAGGAGAAAGATTGGGTGCTTTCTACTCCCACCAACAGTTAACAGTCGTCCTAAACCCACAGGGGCTCCGAGTCAGCACTGACTTGACGGCAGTGAGAAGGCGATGACATGTCATGCTAACTCAAAACAGCAACACCGGTCAGGAACGGATCGAGTGCACACCAGCAATGGTGGAGGGTCCTGAGCTAGCCCTCTGAGAAAGGGAGACCCTGGGTTCGTTGCCCATGTGAGAGATGAGCAGGTCTAGGGAAGAGAAGTGACTTGCCCAGCGTCATTCACATACTTAGTTCACAACACTAGACTTTGACATTTTGTAAAATAAGTGACCCGATTCTGTCGCCCCTCTATCTGATCCCTACTCAACAAAACATAAAGGCCCGTTGCCGCTCCCATGAAAGAGCACACCTTACCAGATAGAAAGGGGAACGCGGTGGTGGTGGAGGTTGGCGTCGAGGTCGAGGGCCACTGAAGGAGGTAGTGGTGGAGGGCGGGCTGGGGGGACCAGACCGTAGAGTCAGCGTCTCAGGCTCATCCTTGGGGACAGACAGCCGGGATACCATGGTAACAGGCAAGGGAGCACAGCCAGATGCCGGCGCCACAAGGGAAGATGGCTGGAAAGCCGGTGCCTGTGTTGAGGCTGCAGCAGGGTCCAAGGTCGGCACGGGAAGCGGGGTGGGGCTCAAGGTGAGCGTTTGCACAGAAGCTGGGGCCAGGAGTGAAGATGCTGCTGCTGGAGCCAGAGTCAGCGTGTGTGACGAGGACGGGCCCATCGGAGAAGCTGGAGCCAGAGGGGGTGCTGGAGCCAGGGACAGTGTCTGAGTTGGACCCAGTGGTGGCCCTGGTGCCAAAGAGAGTGTCTGGGCTGGAGCTGGTACAAGGGACGATGCTGGAGTCAATGACAATGTCTGAGCTGGGAAGGAGCCCTGGGGGTTCCCAGTTCCTAAGGAGAGTGTCTGTGATGAAGACGAGCCGCCAAGAATGGGTGCTAAAGCTGGGGCCGGGGCCAGTGTCGGTGTGGAAGCCAGGCTCGGGAGAGGTGATGGCACCGGGGCTGGGACCACAGTTGGAGTCGACGGTGGAGCCAATGCAGGCGATGGGACTGGAGCCAGAGAAGCAGTGGGAACCAAAGGGTTTCCTGAAGTCGGCGACGGAGCCAGGACAGGAAGAGGAGCCATAGAGGGAGCTGGGGAAGGAGCCAGAACTGCTGTCTGTGGAGCCACCATGGGAGCCAGAGAGGTGGCCAGAGCCTGAGATGTAGAAGGTGCTGGAACCAGAAGGGAAGGCTGAGCTGGAGCTGGGCTTGGCGCTGCCGGGAAAGGACTGGCCAGAGCTGAAGCTGGCACCAGGACAGGTGAGCATGCTGGAGCCATGGCCGAGTTCAACCCTGGAACATGTGAAGAAGCAGGAGCCAACAACAGAGGATGCCCAGGTGCCTGAGATGAGGACAGGGATGAAGTTGTTGCCAAACCCAGAGTCAAAGCTGACGCTGCTGCGGAAGCCCCAGCTGGTGCCAAAGAGGGAGGTCCAGGAATTGCCGAGCCAACTGGTGCCAATGCAGGAGTCACAGTGGTCAAGAGGGCTGGGCCCGAAGCAGAAACAGGTAAGGGGGCTGAGATGGGAATGGTGAGTGGAGCCGAGGTTGGGGCAGAAAATGTGGTAGCGATGGAAATGGGGAGTGAAGAGGAGACCGAGGATGGGACTGCAGAGGACACAGGACTAGCCAGGGGAGAGGAGTTGGGCACTGACATCGGAGAGGAGGCTGGTCCAGGGAGTGAGGCTGGCCCAGGAATAGGAGAAGAGATGGTCAAGGGAGCAGCTCCGGGTGCTGAAGCTGTGGAGACAGAGGATACATTAGTCCAAGACTTCTTTCCCTGCTCTTTCTACTTAGTACCCTGCCCGGCCCCGCCCTCTTCCCTAACCGCAAGCTCCACCTGTTTCCCAGACAACGTCCCACTACTCCCCCCACCCCCCATGACATCAAAGCCACAAGGCAGTCCCAATAAACATATCCTGGAATTAGGCCGGTCCTTGGGGCCCACTGCCAATCAAGGCAGTACGTCAATAAGGGATCTACTGGGATAAGGGAAAAGCATCAAGGCCACCGCATCTCCACTCGTAACAAAAACGTCTGGCCTCAGCCACCTGGACTTACCACTGATTTCGGGCGAAGGACTGTGGACCAGCTTGAGAAGGGGCCTCACCAGAGTGGGCGTGGGTAGAGGAGCCCGGGAAGTACCCAAAGTAGGTGTGGGTAACCGGCCAGGGGTCAACGTGGGGCGTGGAGACAACACAGCTGGCAGCCCAGAGCTTGGGGGCCGGGGCGCTGGGGCCAGTGGAGGCACAGCAGTCAGTCCATCCCGGGGGGCCTGTCTCACTACAATCTTCACCACGCCTGTGTTATTCACCATGGTTGGTGGCACTGCAAGAGGAAGCTACATTGAGGGAAAGGTAGAAGAGAAACAAGAGACCCAAAGGATGGAAGAAGTCCAGGGGCAGGAACGGGTGGCAGACAGACGGACATCAGTGACAGTGGCAGGAGAAAGCAACACTGCAGGCAGGCAGGGCAGCCTGGGAAGAACCAAGGACAGCAGGGCTGGGGGGGAAGCCGAGAGCCTCACCCTGGTTAGCAGCGAGTGGAAGGCTGAGACCAGTGGGGGCAGGGGTGGTGCTGGGGGTCGAAGAAGGCAGCACAGAGACAGGGGAAGGGCCAGGGGTCGGGGCCACGGCCTGGATGAGGGCCACATGGGCAGGCTGGCTGATGAGGTGGTGCTGCCCCCCTGCCGACACCAGGTGCACCACATTCCCTGGGTTAAGGGAAGAGAGAAACAGAGAGAGAAGCAGCTATCAGCCAGGGACGGGGAGAGGAAAAGGCAGGAGGAAAGGGCAAACAGAGGGGGGACACTTCTCCCCCCTCTCCAACCCCCCCCCCCAAGCTGGCGAAGTGAACACAAAGGCTGACATCTAAGGGGGAAGAGGCACAGAAACAAGGGAACAGGGACGAGGAGCAAGAAGGCAGGACAGGGGGTGGGTTTTACCTACTTTGCAGCGGGCGGGGCTGCCCCACAGCAAGCTGGCGCACCTGGGCACCAGTCAAAGTCAGCTTGTTGCCCTGGATTTGGAAGGTGAGAGGTTTGCTTCCCCCTGCGCTAGCCAATGGACGCTGTGCCAGGGAGGCCAACTGTCCAATGCTGACCACTTCCCCAGCTGTAAACAGAGAAAGGGCTTATTGTGTACGGCTTTCAACACCACTTCCTAAATCCTCACAAAGCACACACCCTCCTCTCCCCGGAAACCTCCTCCTCCAGCCCTTCTGTTGCAGTTTACCAAGTCCCAGCGGAGTCAGCCTCCATCTACACAGCACTGCCTTCAACTCCTCTACACCCTCTAGTGGCCGACTACCAGAATAACCTAATGACCAGCCCCACCCCTCCCAACAAGAGCCCAAACCATCTGTCACCACTACACTGATGTGTCACCTCCCTGCTAAGGGCCCTGACTATCTGGCAAAATGACTGCTAGCTGCCTAACACCCGATGCTCACTGCTACTAGGCGTTTGCTCTCAGGCTCCCTGGCAGCTCAGCGTGCCAGCCCAAGCTCCTGACTGCGAGGTCCCAGGACTTACAGGGCAGGCGAGCCTGCATATCCGGAGTCAGGATGAGGCGCTGTGGAGCAGGCGTTGGAGCTGGCACTGCTGTGGTGGCGACAGGGGCTGCAGTGGCAGAGGTGGCTGTGGGGGCGGCAGCAGCGGGAGGGAAGGTGTAGCCTGGTGGCACTGTCAGGGGCTTCAACAGACTGGAGGAGCCTGGAGGTGGGGCGGGGCTGAGCCGAACCGGGGCGGGTGGAGCTGGTTTCAGGGAGAGGGTTGGCATGGGAGGCCGTGTGGTCCCACCTAGGACTCCCAAGGGGGATGATGGCAACACTGTGGACACAGAGAGATTACCTGTGAGATGCACACAGCCTGCCTAGAATCTTTCCTGCTCTTACCCACCACAGCCAAGCCCCCTCCTCACTCCTCTCCGCAACCTGAATAAGGTTCCTCAACTACCCCCAGCACCTTAGCTCCCTTACAACTCACCTTGGGGGAGAGGACCACTGTTTGGCTGCATCGGGGGCAAGAGAACAGGGCCAGGGGGCCGGGATGCTGGGAGAAGTGGGGGCCCAGAGGTCGAGGCTGACACCATCAGTGGTGCTGGCAGCGCGGGAGGGACCGAGCCAGGGGGGAGCGGGGCTGAGAGTTCCGGGCCTGGAGGTCGCACTGGGACAGGACCCACGGGAGTCCGTGGGCTGTTCACCACTACCACTGTCCGGCCTTCTTGCTTGGGCACTGGCTGCAGCATCCTGTGAGGGAAAAAGTAAGTCAATGAAAGATGGAAGGAAAAAGCAGGAATAGCGGAATAGAGAAAAGGCAAGATGAAGCAGGGAGAAGCCAGAAAAGCAAAAGGAGAAAAAGAAAGGGACCAGAATTTGAAGTTAAGATGCCAAAGGCGGCCAGAAAGCCAAGGGACTGGGATTGAGGAAATCAGTGGCAAACCCAGTGTCCCCTCCCAGGACCCTCCCTCTTTAAGTCCCTCGCTCCCTCCCATCCTACCGTGATACTGTGCACTCGCTCTGTGCACCAATTAAGCCTAGCCTCCAACTTTTTCCATGCCAACCCCCGCCAGGCAGGCTAGCTCGGTCCCCCCATCCCCTTCTTCTTCAGCCCCGGTACCTGTTGACCTTCATCTTGACTGGCTTGGGCCTGGGTGGGGGATCCGGAGCAGTAGCCACTTCTAACAGTATCCGGTGGGAGAGACGGTGCCGGGGCAGAAAGGTGTCAGCCTCATATCGAGATACACGACCCTCCAGGCCAATAAGGTCAAAGCGACCCATATCTATCCGCTGCCACAAGATGAAACAGAGAGGGAGGGGATCAAAGACAGTCGGAAACAAAGTCACAGTTAAGACCTGACAATAAGCCAGGTACAGACCTCAGCATTCCCAATTATGAATTGTCACAAGCACACTGCAGAAACAGGCGTCACAATCCTTGTTTTAAAAGGCAAGGAAATCTAAGGTCAGTGGTTAGTCATCACCTAGCACAAAGTTTGGAGACTAGGAAAGGATGAAGCTGAGGAAGTGGTGCCGAGGGCTTGAGATAAGAAGAGGGAGATGCAAAAGGTCAGTTCTTGGCCTGAAAAGAGAAGAAAAAGTAGCGATGACCTGGAAGGCAACCACTTACCTGGAGGGGGTGGACATCTGTGGCCCGCAGCACCAGGGAGGCAGTGCTGAAGCAGATGGCCGGGGTGATGAAAGGGGAGGTAACGGGCCGAGGGTCAAACAAGTTCGGGTGATTGCAGACTTTCCGAAGCTGCATCAAAATGTTGATGACGCTCATGAAATGGCCAGTAGCAAGGGTCTCCTTAGTTCTACAGGAAGAGGAGACACAAATAAGCCTTTCGGACAACCAGCCCCCCTCTCACCTGGGCCTCAGGGCACACGTTAAGCCCCCCCTTACGTGGTCTGTGCCATGAAGTCATCATAGAGACAGCGTTGGCGCTTGGAAAGCCGGCAGCGGATAACGTGCTCGTACTTTTTGGGCATCTGCTTCTCAACATCCACCTTAACTCGGCGCAGCAAGAAGGGCCGCAAAACCTAAACACACGTACGCAGGAGTCGTGAGAGGAGCACAGGGCTGCTGAAGACTGGCTGAGCCCGGCAGCCACACTCCTGTTGTCCAGTCAGCCCCAACCACACACACACACAGGAGTGAGAGGAGAGGCTGAGCAAGGCCCTGCGAGCAGGAACGCCCCACCAACTGCCAGAGTGGAACTGCCTTTCGGAGCATGAGACATTTAGAAGAGCACAGAGAAGTGTCCGGAAGGAGCTGAGGACAAAAACTGGGGCAGGGATGGAGTGGAAAACCAAGGGCAAATTTGAAACCTTAAGAGGTACAATCTGTGAACACAGTCATTCAGTTGGCATGGAAAAAGTGAGAGAATGCGATGAAAATAAAGGGGGGGGCGGGCGGGGGAACAGTTAAGAACACGATTGCTGGGCTGACCAGAATAACAACTTGACTGACCAAGGTGGGGTTGAAATAACAGTTCAGAAGGCCAGAGATGTTGGGTGTAAAAGAATGAATGACGTTACCAATTCAGAATTTAGGGTACAATCACATAGGCAGCCCTTAGAAATGGGGAGCACAATCAGACATCAGCAAGAGTCCTAAGAGACATTGTCATTTAAAGCTGAGCGGACGAGGAGGAGCCAGAGGACATCACATTACAGTGGACACACACAAGACCATCAAGGGAATGAGGGCGAGGAAACCCAAGTACAGAAAACCCCACCGGGGGTTGGCTGATGGGCAAGATTCTTCTCCGAGAGGCAAGGGCAGAAATGCCACCAGGAAAGAGCAAGATGATGACAAGTAGACGAGGCCACTCTCTCTGGAAACGTGCTGGTCACAGAACACCGCAGCTTGACAGCAGGCTGAGTTCAGCCTGGGGTTACTTCCCTGTCCCGTCCCCAAAGGCCTTCTGAATACTGCCCTTCGTTCTAGCCTGGGCCAATAAGCCTGAATTAACAACAGGGATCCAAAGATTAGATAAGAAGCGTGGGGGCAGAGTCTATGGTGGTGGAGAGGAGCAACTCAGCAAAGGAGAGGAAGGGGCTACATTCTAAAAAGATGTGCTCGAGTTACTGGATGGACAGATTCTTGCGTCAGTGTATGTGCTGCTCTGTAGACTCCAATCAAAGGGCCTGGCCTCACCGGGGCAGCGCCTACCTTATGGAGCCGTTTGACTAGTCCTTCGTTATATTCTTGGCTGCCCTCAATCATGCCAGTTAGGGGGTTAGAGAACCACTCCTTGAACTCGCGGTGAGACTGGAAGACATGAGGCATCAGAAAGTGCATCAAGGACCACAGCTCCATGAGGCTGTTCTGCAAGGGCGTCCCCGTCAGGAGCAGGCGTCTCTGGCTGCAAAGAGACAGCAGCGAATCAGTGGAAAGACAGCAACATTCCAATCTGACACTCTCCACTCAGCCGGCAGCCAACCCTCCCACAGATCCCCATGCCCACCTGTTGAAATTGAGCAGTGACTGCCAGCGCTGTGACTTGAAGTTCTTGATGTTCTGCGCCTCATCCAGAATGAGATAGCGCCAGTTCTTGCGGCGGAAGGCCTGGTGGTCCTGCAGCACCAGCTTGTAAGACGTGATACACACATGGAAGGCGTTGGGTTTGGTCCACCCCTGAGACCACAGAGAAAGTAGCAGATTGTAGGGTCAAAAACAAGAGCACAAAGATCACCCCAAGGTCCTCAAGAGACAGAAATCACCTTAGGAGAAAGGACAAAGTCCCAGGAGAATGAAGCAACAGAAAGAGGGAAAGGGAGTCATCTGAGGGCCTAAGATTTATCAAATCCAAAAACCAAACCACAGCCATCGAGTCAATTCTGACTCACAGAGACCCTAGACAGCAGGGGTGGGGAACGTCTGGCCCAGGGGCCACACAAGGCCCACATCTCATCATCAATACCAGCTAGCATCAACACCCCCACCACCACCACCAAAGAGAAGCCGCGGCAGCCATCGTATTAGGGGTGAGTTGAACAAATACGTGATCAAATACAGCAGGCTCATATGTGGACTGTGAATGTTATGAAGATCCAGGTGGCCGCTGGCAGAAAAAGGTTCCCCACTCCTGCTATACAGGGTTTCCAAGACTGTAAATCTTTAAGGAACAAATAATCTCTTTCTCTGCTGAAGTAGCCTGGTGGGTGTGAAGCCCCCCTTGAAGTTAGCAGCCCAACGCCTAACCCACCGGGCCACCAGGACCCCTTTGGAAAAAGAAGAGGAAGGATTACTAGGGGGGAGTGACCACATGGAGGATCAAACCTGCCGCTTGAGTTTCCTCTCTTTCTGGGCTCCATAGTAGGTGAGGATTTTAAAGCTGGGGCACCAACGTTTCAGCTCCATCTCCCAATTCAACATCACACTGGTGGGGACAATGATTAAGTGGGGCCCCCAGTTACCTGTTCAGCAAAAGAATGAGAAAATGTAAGACATTTTGCGATCTGGTCCCTGACCTATAACCCTGACCTCCTAATGGCCTTCCCCAGAATCCTAGCACCTATACTGGCTGGTTCCTGCTCAGAGTCAGTGAATCTGCTAGCTAGGAGGACAGGAAAGAGCGAGAAGTTCACCATCCTGCATCTGGAGTCACTGCTAAACAAGCACCCCAGGGAGGTAGCCAGGGGCTCACAAGGACATGCCCTAGTGAGCTACCTTTCTCACAGGCCAAGTGGGCCAGCAGGGAGATGGTCTGGATTGTCTTGCCCAGGCCCATCTCATCGGCAAGAATGCCATTAAGCTTCTTCTCGTACATGGTAACCAGCCAGTCCAGGCCGATATGTTGGTACTCCCGGAGCTGGCCCCGAAGCAGCAGAGGGATTGGCGTCTTCACCTGGTGGGAAGGAAAAGTGGTGTCACGGGGACTGGAGGCTTCTGCCATTGGGAGGTAGGCTAGTGAACCGGGAAGAACAGGAAGCAGGGCCTGCCTGGGGTACCTGGGTAGTGGCCAAGGTGTAACCCTTGGGCTGGAGGCTTTCAGCAGCCGCAGCAATGTCGGTAATTTCCTTCTTAGGGCCTGGCGTGGGGGGCCCACTGCCCCCATCTGGCTCACTGTGTTCTTCATCTCTGGCGAGCAGGTACTCCACTCCAAAGTCCTCATCTTCCTCGTCCTCATCATCCTCTTGGCTCTGTGACTGGGCCACCTCAGAATTCTCAGACTCTGAGTCCTGCGAGTCGGAACTCCCGCTTGTTTCCTCCTCCCCTGAATGTTCATCTTCCTCATCCTCACTCTGCTCTTCAGGCGAGTCTGAAGCAGGAGACGGAGGTTTACAGTGGACCATACTTTTTCCTCAGTGTCAGTGTCCGCCCTGCCTGACGACCACTCACCTGACTGGCTGCTACTACCCTCCTGAGCAGCCTCATCAGCTTCTGTGCCTTCCTCCGGTTCCGACTCAGAGTTGTTAGCCTCAACCTCCTCCTCCTCCTCCTCCTCTTCACTGCTAGCGGAGCCTGGCGCAGAGGTATCAGAGCCATAAGCCCCTGGATACTGCTGCAGTAGCTCCTCCACAGATAGCTCACCTGGTAGAAAACAAAGGGTAGGCTTTAGTTACTTCAAGGAGAGGAGGAAGGTGTACATGTAGGTCTCATTTTATTGAAGCTTTGTAGACACTAAACTAGATCCTTATCTGAGGGGAGACCAAAGCGCTAACTTCCAGCACTAGCTACCAAAAGCAAGCCCCACAGCCTGGCCTAGCTCTGCTGTTTGTCCCGGGGAAGAACACCATCTAACAAATGAACTTCACCGTTATCAGGTCAAGGGTGGCCAACATCGTTTGCCACTGAGCACCCAATTTACGATCAAACTAAATCCCCACCGTAAACATCCATCACATCCGACTTCTAACTGCTCACTCAGCAATCTCCCTTTGTTGTTTAGCAATGTCATTCCACCCTCCAGTCTCAGCAGAAGCTCAGCCCAGGGCTGGTGACTGTCACCTTCTCGAGCCAACTCGCTCAGCTCCATGGCGTGATCCACTTCCCCTGCCAGCTGTTCCTCCGCTGCGATGGTGTCTTCTTCATCCTCCGCTGGGAAAGACAATGAAGCAGGGTTAGTGGGCATAGGAGCAAGAACACAAGCCCACAAGAGGAGGTGAGGCAGTCTGAAAGGCTGGGGCCAGACAACTCAAGAGGTCAGGAGTAAGAGGATGAAGTGAACATGCCTGACCTTCATCCTCATTGGCAGTAAACTCTTCATCATCTTCATCTGGATGCCAAGGCTGGCTGTTGTGCTGTGTGACTGAAGAGAGAGGTGGCTTCCTCTATATGGTAAAGGATGGAAAGGATCTGAGATTAGAATCGCAGGAAAAAAGGCTCCGGGGTGAATAAAATGTCACAGAACTGTCTCTGTCCCATTAGCTGACCACTGCCACTGGCACAGTCCCAGGGGAAGGATGCAACTGTGAATTTTCTCTCAGTACCAGCTAGTAGGTCCTGGCCCCACAGCCTGGGGAGGACCTGTGTAAATGCCGGATAAGAAAACATCTCCCAGTCTCAGCCCCAGCCCCTCAAAACCCAGGACGCTCTTACGGCTTATGGCCTGAAGAGACTTCAAGGTTAGTTATCATTCCAGCTCCCACCCCACAAGTCCATAAGGAAGTACGACTGTTTCACCTAAGTGACAAATAAGGACCAGAGAGATCACACCTCAATGTTAAGAGTAGAGCAGAATACTCTTCCACCCCAGCACTGGAACCTCTGCCTATTTAGCACTGCAACTTGCCCCAAACTCTTAATCACAGAGAACTGCCAAAAACTCCAAATGAAGCTCAAAGCCTAGAAGCCAGGCCCTGAACCTCTCTCTCTGCTCCCACGTACATGCCCTGCCTGTACCTTCAACCCCTGGGCAGGTTCTTCTTCACCGTCTTCAGGTTCATCTTGGGCGTCACTCCCGTGAGACGACAGCGTGTGGGCAGGGCTGGCAGGCCCTTCTAGCAGCTGAGGGGGCAGAGAGCGGAGCAGCTCTTCCAAGGGCAGCTCTCCCTCACGCCGAAGCAGTTCAATCTCACGCCTCTGTGTCTCTGCGTCATTGCCTTCCTGCTGCTCTTCAACCTCAATCGTCTCTTCATCATCCTCTTCCTCCTCTTGGGGCTGGAAGTCCCCATCTATAGCAGGAGAACAAGGTCACAAAGTCCACGGGGCCCTGCAAGCCACAGGGTGGGTTTTCAGCTCTGGGAAGGGCAGAGAGAAAAGAATAAAACGCCAAAAAGAATGCGCACCTTCATCATCTACTCTGGAGGCAACAGGTGGAGGGCTGGAGGCAGCTGAACCCGTGTGGGAAGAGCCAAGGCAAGGGGAGGAGCCGGCTTTGCTGGAGGCAAGTGGCTGATTGAGGCTCTGAGACAAAAGGTCTGAGTACTTCTCAGTCTGCCCCACAATGAAGTCCAGGTGCAGATCCAGAGCTTTTTTGCGTTTTTCTTCGAGCCGAGACTGTTGCTTGAATTGTACCACCTGTCAAAATGAGAAAGGATGCGAGACACCAGCTAATTTATATACTGTTATGGACTGAATTATGCCCCTCCAAAATATGCATTAGAAATCCCAATTTCTATGTTTGTGGTTATTATCTTGTTAGGAAATGGACTTGACTTTTTATGTTACGGAGGCATGATTAGCACAGGGTGTGTCTTGAGGTGGGGAAGACAGATGTCAATTCATAGGACCATCTCCAGGGAACCAGCAAACAAAGACCCTCCTCAAAGTTTACAGAGGAAGCCCTCCCCTAGAATTAGTACCAATTCCAGACTTAAGCTTTCCAAAAATTTGAGATTTGCTTGACAATGGCACATCTGTTACATAACTAAGACACGTGCTTGCACAGGCTCCTCTAGGCCAGGCTTGTCCCGGCCTTTCAAGAGGAAAGCACTAAGTAAACTTAATAGGCTCCCCATTCAATAGTGCTGTTTTTTTTCCCTGGGGAACATACAAGAACACAAGGAACGAAGAGCCAGCCCCCCCAGCCCTCCCCCGCCCCCCGCAGGGAAACATTTGCAAATGTATCTGGGGCTAGGTTTCAGTGAGCAGACACTCCCTAAGTGGCAAAGAGGAGGACGTCATCCCAGCAGCAGCAAGAACATTTGTAAATGGACAGGGATGTAAGAAAGGAGAGGCACCAGCCAGTAAGTGCAACGGAGGCCGTTATGCACGTAAGCAGCTGACAGACATACACACCACTGTTAGAAGACATGCAGAAGGCCTCACAAAGGACCCTGGCCCTGGAGAGCACAAATGGGCCCCTGAGGTAGGGCCTACAGTTCTCCCACAGCCTTTCTTTCTCCTCCATGGTACTCAATGCTATGATCTAACGCACAACAGACTACGTCCACTTAGAGCTGCTAGAAACTCTCTCACACAGTGTTCGCTATTCCTGCCACCCGCCAACCTAAGCCAAGGCCCTTTCCCTTTCTCAGCCCCAGCTGCCTACCTTCTCCACATTGCTCCAGAACTGCCTGACATCCTTGGCCACGGCAGAGGCAATTCGGCGCAGCTTGGCCTGCTCCTCCCTCCGGGCTCGCTCTTCCTTCTGCCGTTGCTCTTCGTGGTGACGGATCACCATGCGCACCACCTGTGGGAGCGAAGACCCCCAAGCTGAAGCACTTACAGGGCAGAGCCCCTCTAAGTCAAAGTCACAAGACCTGGGAGGACAGGGCTTGCTTCTCTGAGACAACACGGTTCCCTCCTACCCAACCCCTCCACCCAGGGAAGGCAAACAGAGAGGGAAGCAGAAGGTGGGTCTAGCTGAGGACGTACCTTACGGGCCACACCCCGTTTCCACCGACGCTCCTGAGCAAAGTCAGCAGAGAGCCACTGCATTTCCTCACACAGATAGTCCCAGTGGCCTTTGGGGCGTGGAGGCTCTGGCACCTTAGGCAGCCTCCTCAGTGACCAGAAACCCTCTCTCCGGAGCTCAGCAATCCGGGTCTCAATCTCAGCCTCCTAATAGGGGGAAGGCTGGGTGGGTGAAGAGTTCCGGGACACCAACTCCACTTAGCAGCTGAACTACTGAGCAAGGACCACATCAGGCACCAACTGGGCTCTCTCATGCTTATGACCTTGGTTAGTGCTCAATACTAATCCTATCAGTAAGAATAAGGCATTCCTCAAACGCGGGGGGTGGGATTACAAAAATTAAGTGACTTGCTCAAGTTAACAGGAAATGATACAAGCTGGGCATCCAAAATAGATCTATTAACTCTGGATACCAATTTTGTGTTCTTTTGGTTAACATTTTGCAGGCACGACGGATGCAGTCAAGAGGTGGGGGGGGGGGGGGGGGGGGGGGGGGGGCGGGGGGAGGACGACGACGACAGATCCCTAAGAGAGTGTGCCAGGGCATCTGTTTCTGTCTTGACTCTAAACCAAGGCAAGAGGTATTTATCACTGCAGAATTCCCGTGACCCAGAGGATGTTCATGGCAGATGCACAGAAATACGCTATAAAGCTCAATTGACAAAGCGGTTCAGGGAAATGCTATTTTTATTAAAGTGTATTTTTATAAGGAATACACTAAAGTTAGACAAGTGTCAATGCTTAGCTATAGCGGAAAAAAAATTTTTTTTTAAACAAAATTCTATTTTGATTGTAGGAGTCCCTAACTGGGCACTAACAGTTGAGCACCTGACTACAAGCCAAAAAAAAACTGTTAGCCTGAGAAGACACCTTTCTTGGTCAGGCAACCTGCTTCTTAAAAGGCACAGCCTCCCAAGCCCTGTGGAAGTTGTACTCTATATACAGGGGCTTGACATAAGCCAGAACTGCCTAGATAGCCCATCAATAACACTTTTATTTGATCACTTTTACATTAAGAAAAAAACTAAAGCATTTGAATTTCTTTTTAAACAACCAACTTAAAAATTCAACATGAGTACTCTAAGATTTCTTCATCACTCCTGTCTTCTAAGGTGGAGGCAATGACAGCCTGAGATGAGATGGGGAACTTCGTGAGCTGACAGTGAAGGCACACCAAGAGCCAGTGGCTCTCAGACATGAAGTGTGCGTCAGAACCCTAGACTGCTGGGTCCACTTCAAGTCTCCACATGGCCATTCCTAGGCAACTAACAGCGATGGTGACACTGCTAGTCCAACACACATACTCCTGGGTTACCTGAGTCTAACGAGGCAGGAGAGAAAGCAGAAGTGGAAACCAGTCTTAAGTCTCATAGTTTACATTTTCATAAGAGCTGGGACCGTTCAATGCAAAGCTGATTATCTGAAAATGTAAACCCCCACCTAATTTATAATTTTAAAAAATGGTTAAGAAAAACATTTTCAAGTCCATTATCAAATTCAGTTTAAAGTTCTTAACAGCCTAGATTATATGTCCTTGTTATAGCGAAAAAGCTTTGGTGGTGCTGTGAGATAAGCGTTGGACCGTTAAGTACAAGGTCTGTGGTTCAAACCCACCAGCTATTCTGAGGGAAAAAGAAGAGGTGATCTGCTTCCATAAAGTGTTACGAAGACTAAGAAACCCAATATAGGGTTGTCCTTTAAGTTGAAATCAACTCTACAGTAGTTACAGAGAAAAGGAAAATGAGAATCAAGAGTTCATGTAACATGCTCAAAATCATACAAGCCAAGGCAAACACTACACCCTCAAATCCATGGCCAAAAAATATATATGTAAAATACCCATGGGAAGTGGACGTTCAGGGAAGGTTCCCAACATAGGCCTTCCCAAAACATACATGCTTAGCCTGCTCTGCGATTTCAGCATGGCTCTTCTCCCACTTTGGGCCCTTGTTAGCCAGGTCAGCAGCTTGGGGTAAGTTGAACCCCTCCAGGGAGACCGTGGGACCATCTGAGGGGCCTGGAGGTCCATCCAGAGAAGAATCTTGAGCTAAGTGCTGGGGAGAGATGCCGCCTGCCCCACTAGAGGCTGGGGAACTAGAGGAGGCAGGGGACACTGGATTGCTGCCTGTCATGCCGTCCGACACCATCTAGAAATGGAGAAAAACGCATGCTTAGCTCAGTCCCAGAAGTTTTTAAGTACACTATTTCATCTTCATACTTTGGAATAAAGCATCAATCAATCCTATTTTCACAAACACAGACATTTGGGATAAAAAGTTTTACTAAAGTGCTCAAGATGGCAAAACCAAGTTTATAGTTGACATACAAGAGAATTATCTGTTGATTTCCATCCCCCGAATTCAGACCACCTCTATAGCCTATGATTTTAAATTGTAATCTACTTTTCGAAGCCTCAATGACTTCTCTCCAACAATGTCCCGTTGTGCCCTCATTTTCACACCAAGTGTGACAGACTTGCATACAAAATAAATGTGCTGTTGCTAGGTCACTTCTGGCTCACACTGACCCTAATATTCAACAGAATGAAACACTGCCTGCATGTGCATCATCCTTACAATTCTTTTATCTGGACCCATGGTTACAGCTACTTTATCAATCCATCTTGTCAGGGGTCTCCCTCTTTTTCACTGCCCCTCTCCTTCACCAAGCATGACGTCCTTTCAGAGAGACCAGTCTCTTCTGATGGCATGATCAA